GACAACTAGTCCTTCTAATAAATTACTGCTTATTTTATCGGATGCTGCTCCTTATATGGTGAAGTCAGGACAAAATTTAAAAATATTTTTCCCAGATTTAATACATGTTACTTGTGTAGCGCATGGATTAAACAGAGTTGCAGAGGAAATACGAAAAAAGTTTCCTCTTGTAAATACCATGATATCCAGTGTCAAAAAAGTATTTCTTAAATCTCCTATAAGAATTCAACTTTATAAAGAAATGCTACCTAACATTCCTCTTCCACCACAACCTATTTTAACGCGATGGGGAACATGGTTAGAAGCAGCTAATTTTTATGCAGATCATTTTGTTAAAATAAAGAACATAATTGATACGTTAACAGATGAAAGTTCCCAATCTCTTTTGGATTCTAAACAAACTTTTCAGAGTAACTTGCTTCAACAAGAACTTTCATTTATAAAATCAAATTTTAGTTTTGTTAAAAAACAATTACTCAGTTAGAATCACCAAAACTGTCATTGTTCGAAAGTACAGCATTAATAAAAGAATTTGCGTCATGTTGTCGGAACGTTAGAGGTAATATTGGAAAAGATATTTTAAAAAAAATTGAAGCTACTATGGAAAAAAATAAAGGTTACCATATTCTTTCTGAAGTAGTCAGTGTTCTAGCTGGAAATATTTCGGAAACAATTAATTTAGAACCAAATGTTTTGGTTAGTTTGAAAAATGCTCCCGTTACATCAGTTGATGTTGAACGAAGTTTTTCCATATATAAATATATATACTCAGACAGAAGCCACAAGTTTTTGTTAGAAAATTTTGAACACCACTTGGTCATTTATTGTTACCATAATTCTAAATAAGTTTATTCATACTTAAAAATAATGTAGTTACTTATATATGTAAATGTAAATCTTAATGAATAGTAGGAAATATTTAGTTATGTACAACTTTTTTTTTTAAATAAAATTGTTACTATTTTATGATTTTTTTATTTATTTGTATGCATATTTTGTAAAATATTTGCATATTTTCGGGTAAACACGTGCATATTTATGCGCATATTTTCTACATTTTTATTTGCATATTTGCCGAAGTCTAATAATAAGTTTCAAAAATTAATCTTCTTCTTCTTAAGGTTCCATCTTCTAACGAAGGTTGGATATCAACATGGCAATTCTTACTTTACTTACAGCAGCTCTAAATAGTTGGCTAGAGCTCAGACTAAACCATTCCCTTAGATTTCGTAGCCAGGAGGTTCGTCTTCTTCCTACATCTCTTTTACCTTTTATTTTGCCCTCTATAATCAAACGTAGTAGCCCATAACGAGGACCTCTTAATATATGACCGAAATATTCAAGTTTCCGCCTCTTAATTGTCTGTACAATTTCTTCCCTCTTATTAACCCTATCAAGGACTTCAATATTGGTAATTTTGTCTACCCATGTTATTCGTAGCATCCTTCGATAACACCAACGCTCAAAAGCTTCCAATTTCTTAATCTCCAGTTGTTTCAATGTCCATGCCTCAGATCCGTAGAGCAAGGTTGTAAAAATGTAGCAGCGCAATAACCTTATCCTTAGATCCATTCTTAGGTCTCTACTACACAATAGATGTTTCATTTTTACAAATTTTGCCCTTGCTATTTCTATACGGCTTTTAATCTCTTGCGTTTGTTCTGCGTTTTGACTAACCAATGTTCCTAGATATTTGTATTTATCTACCCTTTCTATCTGGATATTATTAATATGGAGTGTCTCGTTGTCTTTTGGATGTTTTGTAATGACCATGAATTTTGTTTTCTTTAAGTTCATTTTAATACCATATATGGTACACTTTTCATTCAGCCGTTCCAGTATGTTTGATAGACTTTGCAGAGTTGAAGTGAATATGACAGTATCATCGGCATATCTTATATTATTAATAATTTCACCATTTATTATCATTCCATCGTTACACTCTCCTAAAGCTTCTTGGAAAATGGCTTCGCTATATATATTAAACAGCAGTGGTGATAATACACAGCCCTGTCTCACACCCCGAAGAATTTCTATTTCTTCCGACATTTGATTTTCAATTCTTATTTTGACTTTCTGGTTCTAGTAGAGGTTCGAGATTACTCTGATGTCGCGGCTATCGATGTTTTTCATTTTTAAAATATTAATTAGTTTATTGTGCTGTACCTTGTCAAATGCTTTTTCAAAATCAATAAAACATGTATACATGTCTTGGTTCATATCCAGATTTCTTTGCATGAGCACATTTATACCGAACAATGCTTCCCTGGTTCCCGTGCCGTTTCTAAAGCCTAACTGACTATCACTAATTTCATCATCCAGCTTTCTGTAAATTCTGTTGTGGACTATTCGTAGAAATACTTTCAAAACATGGCTCATTAATGCAATTGTACGGTGTTCTGAGCATTCTTTTGCATTTTGCTTTTTGGGAATAATTACGAATGTGGATACTAGCCACTCCTTTGGTAAAATACCTGTTTGATAAATATGATCATAAAGTTCTACTAGAATGTCTATCATTTCATCATCGATCAATTTAAGAAACTCAATCGGGATTTCATCCGGACCTGTGGCCTTTTTCCCTTTTGTCTGTTTTAATGCGTATTGAACTTCCTGTTTTAAAATTTTTGGTCCCGATTCACCAGAGTCCTCATCTATGATTTGTTGTCTGTCATCCCCGAATAGTTCTTTTATGTATTCTGTCCATCTGTTTAGTTGTTGTTTTGTATCTGTGAGAATGTTACCATTCGAGTCTTTTATAACATGTATATTATTTTGTTTTCCCGACGTCATTTCCTTCACTTTCCGATGAATATTGAAACTATCATATTTCTTTTCATATTCTTCTATTTCGTGACACTGTTCAGTTAGCCATCTTTCTTTTGCTGTTATTATGTCTTTTCTAATCTTGCTGTTTAAGGATTTGTATTTGCTAGTGTTTATGTTTTTATATTTTCTTCTTTCATTCATGAGAGTTAGTATTTCGTCTGTCATCCACATATGTCTTTTCTTTGGTATTGGTCCACGTATTTCTTCTCCCGCTTCTTTTAAAGCTTGTTGAACCTCTCTCCAATTTTCATTTACGTCTTTATAGTTGGTGTTTTTTGACTTGATGGGTTTAAGATTATCATTGATTTTCTGTCTAACTCTTTGTTCTATCTGAGTATCTTTTAATCTTGTCACATCGAATTCTTTTCTAATCTTTTTGTTTTTTAGCTTTTTTAATTTTGCTTCCATTTCGACAATAATAGGGACGTGATCCGAGTATATATCGGCACCTGGATAAGTTTTTGCTGATTTTATTGAATTTTTAAACCTATTTCTGATCAAGACAAAGTCTATTTGATTTCTGACGATGTGTGATTCTCGGTCTGCTGGTGATTTCCACGTGTATAGTCTACGTTTAGGTAGATCAAATAAGGTATTTACTATAACCAGATCTTCATTTTGGCAAAATTCTAAGAGTCTATCTCCACGTTCATTTCTAACGCCCAATCCAAACTCACCAATCCATGGTGCCACTGCTCCTTTACCAATTTTGGCGTTAAAATCCGCTAGGATGATTGTTATCTCACATTTTTTTGTCAATTTTAGAGCGGCATTGAGTTGATTATAGAATATTTCAATTTCCTCCTCATCTTTGTCGGCTGTTGGAGCATACACCTGTACTATGTTTATTGGAACAGTCTTTGAATTAAGTTTCAGAATCGCGACTCTGTCTGATATTGGAGTAAAGCTTATTACTGTTCTATTAATTTTGTAATCAACGAGAATTCCTACGCCATACAAATGTGATGGGTCATCGTTTCCTGAGTAGTATAGCATTCCGTTGTTTGTTATACATTTACCTGTTCCTTGCCATCTCACATCGCTAATTCCTAATACATTTACATTCAAACGTTCCATTTCTAAGATGGCATTGTCTAGTTTTCCAGCCATAAACAGACTTCTAACATTCCATGTCCCAACTCTAATACCTAGTCTAGTTTTGTTCGACTTGTTCATGATTTTACAGGGATTTTGCATGTTGACGACCGGAGAGGCCCCATAGTCTTGCGATTGTCCTCTCCTGCCGGATCTTGGTATCCGTATTCCATGATCAGTAACATTTTTGAGTAGGTCTTTACTAGCCATGTTGACTTACTAAGGATGTTCTTTTGAACCTTTAATGCAGTGGTTTCCCCTTGCCTTCTGCATCCTTATGCCGTTGACCGTATACTTGGCTCATCCGCCTTTAGGGTCGATTTCTCAGCACAAGGACAAAAGAGTGCCCTACCACTTACCAACTCATCCGTCCGAAGACGTTGGTCAGTAAGTGGGGGATTGCTTATACCGGCAATCGTTCGGTGGAATTTTCGCCATATCTGGCTACCCTCACTTAGTTTAGCCTGCAGACCAATGCAGTTGCCCGGGGTGTGGCACGTGGAGCCATAAGTGAGAGTTAGCTGTCTTATGAGGACCAGTTATCAAGAACCATCTCCCGTCTATGACGCTCGATGTGGTCGTTCCGATAAAAGGTACTACCTCTATAACACAACTCTACCTAATAGATGATTCTAATAAAAACAATTGCATGAAATTTACACAGATATATATTGTTGATTATACGTAACTATGTTGTATATAAAATACCTATACGTGTATTGTATCTCGATAACGGTACAAAAACATAAGTAATTTAAACTGCAGTTATAGCTGGTGACGTCAAAAATTAATTTTAATCAGTACAGAACCCCTAAATATAGTCGCACAATAAAACACTCGAATAAATTACTACAATCCGTATTCTACTATCTATATATCACTTACTAATATGTACCTTTTAACCCGTAATAATGAGATAGGTAATGAATTGTTTGGTTCGTCCGTAACCAAGACAACACACAAACTAAATGTAGACAAGTGAAAATTTTCCATTGTCTACAACACAGAAATCGTTTTGTGATATTTTTATTCCAACTGTAAAAATTGGCCAAAAAAGTTCAAAGGCTCCTTCAATCATGGAAGAAGACAACTCGTGGGTTTTTGATTCGCTAGTGACTTTTCTAAATGGTCCGATATGGAATGCACCTCTGCAGAGTTTCATCGAAGAGAAATCTTTAAGTAAGTATTAGTTTATAAAATATTTGAAATATGTTAGTTTTAGATATTAAAATTAACAAATATTTTCGCCAGTTAATTGTTACTACATTTTTGTCATTTTGTTGTTTTTATTCCCAATTGATGGGAAAAGGAAATGTATAATATAGTCCAATTAATTATTTTAATATTTTTATGTTTATTTACAAAGCTCAACATCCCTTGAAAGCCTATGGCTAAACTACAATAATACAATTAATACCAGTACTTAATATAATTCTTACATAGGGGAAATGTGCATATGATGGACACCTTAAGGAAAAAGCTCCATAATAATTTTAATTATTTACTTAGCAGGCTTTAAATATGACCACATAACGTCTTATTTATATAATATGCAAATGTTTCAAATTTTGATAAAAATTAAGATGACAAAAGTTATTCATAATTTACTAAAATCCTGTTAAGGGTCTATCGTGGGCATATATGCGCTCATGATGGACCCTTTGATACGCCCTTGATGGACCCGCATGCTTGATGCATTTTGTATAAAATAAGTAAATACCAAATTATTTTATTAAACCAAAAGATATTCTAAACGATAGATAATATTACAACTAGGTATTTTTAAGAAAAAATTTACATGCACACAAATTGTTTACGTCCAGGATTTACATATGCACATTTATTGTGACACCAATTCTTACACACTTGACAACGAATCCATTTTTCTTTGGATCGTAAATGCGAAAATAGTTCGTTACAGTAAATGTAAGCTGCATCGTCCGAGTCGTTTTCTTCAAAAGAAGATTCACAATCGTCTTCAGAACTGTTTGTTGTTGAAACACAAACTTGCCTTTTCACTTTTCTTGCGTCTTGTTTTCTTTTTTTTGCTTCTTTTTCTACAATTTTTTGTTTTATATCATCAATTTTTGGCGTTGAATTTAAATATCCTGTTTTACCCCGTTTTCTACCAGTTTTCTGAGTTACTTCAGATACTCCATCTTAAGGAGGAGGACAAATATCTCCGACCAAGATGTTTAGGACTGACGATGATGTTGATTTCTGATCAGTGATTTTTGATAAACCTTCAATCGAAGAAACATTTTGGTTCCGATATTCCGGTAGTGAGTTCTCGTCAGAATATCCTGGTAGTGGGTTTTGTTTATAATTTTCTCTATCTATCTGTTGTTATGGAGGCAAAAATTGATAATCCTCGAAGATATCTGGATTGAACGGTTCTATTCCTGTCTTTTTAAATGCATTTATTGCATTTGATGGAAGAGAACTTTTTAAATATGCTCTATTAAAGATACTGGCTACTGGGTAACTATTTTACCTGGATTCTGTCGCAGACATAATTGAATTTCTTGGCCATAGTAACTTTAAAGTGGTCTAAAAAATCCTACGTTCAAGGATTGAACGCGATGAGAGCAGTGAGCAGGAAAACAAAACATACTAATACTGCTTTCTTTTGCAAACTGGAGAGCTTTAACACTTTTATGACTACCATGACCATTGAGTAACAACAAAACTTAGTTGGTTTTAGAAGCCTTTAAATACCTAAAAAATGTTGCACCCAGAAACAGAAAATTTCGGAAGTCATCCATCCTTTTTCTTGAGCGAAGGCTACACTTCCAGTAGGTGCATCGATCATAAGTTCGTCTTTCTTTCTCTGTCAAGGAAAAACCAAAGCAGGAGGAACATATTTTCCAATTGCATTCATTGCACATACGACCTTAACATGTAGACCTCGCTCTGCACTACTTAAAGCACCAACTTGTTTGTGACCTTTATTAGCATAAATATTCTGCGATCTATTTTGCACAGTTGACAAACCGGACTCGTCCATATTATAAATGTTTTCCTGTGGAATTTGAAACTCGTTTAATGTGCTAATTCTGTAAAATAGGCACATACATTTGGTTTATTAATAGCTTGAGCCCTTGCCAACGAAGTATTTTCTGGAGTTAGTAATGATATTCGAGGCGCTTTAAAAAGCCTCTGACCCATTTCCAGCCTGCCATCTTGGTTTCCTTATTAAAACTGTGGCTAACATTGTTTCTTTCAGCTACTTCGTATACAAGTTTTCGTAAATATTTACTGATCATTCCAAAAAAACGAGGTTCCATTGTGGTAATATGGTCAGAAATTTCCTTTTCAATAGCAGTGGAAAATATTTTTCTTCGTCCTCCCAAATCACCTTTGGTACTTCCTTGTTACTTATTAAAGCGCCTTTTCAAAGTCGTTTTTAGAACGTTAAATGTTTTTGCTGCCAGCTTAAACCCCATAGTTTTTTCTTGTATGCTTTTTAAAGCTTGCTGCATATTACTCTCATTCCACTGTTGACTTTTATGAGGATCCATCCCTGTAAAATGTATTATGTTAATCGTTAAGTAGCAACTTATTTCCTTTTTCATATGATGGGCCCCTAGTCCGTCATAGGTAACGACAAAGAGGTCTATCATAGACAAATAGGCAAGACAGTAAATTTAATACTGTTACTTTTGTTTTGACCATTCGAAACTAAAACAAAGTATAGTATTTGACAAAGAAAGTGTAGTCATTTTATACAAAACAAAAGCAACACTTAGCTTAACGTATGTTACCAATAAAATATTACTTACCAAAAAATTTTATTAGATCAGCAACGCCAAATTTTAATTTTATTTCACAAATTTACTGTTATAACCGCCACGGATCTGAAACTTTGCAAATACTAAACTACAAACCTCGGGAGCAAGAGACAACTGGCGATGTGCATGTAACCACGCCATATTTGAAATTACAGCAGGGGGTCCATCATAGGCAGGGGTCCAACATAGGCACACTTCCTCTATTACAAAACTTGTAGCTGTCCCTTTGCCAATCTAGTATTCAGTTTTCATTTTTCCTGAGCTTTTTCTTCTATACTAACCACCAGATAAGTAAAATGGACCACCCTTTCGAAATTATATATCCTAGATTCATGAGATATGAAAGTAAACTGCCTTTTCAAAAATGTGACCTTTCCGGTCAAGATTAGAAACTTTGGTCTATATTGAGGTTAGAAAACGTAAGAAATGTCCTAAAATTGTTCCCGGGGGATCTAAAGTTGGAAACTCACAACTAACAACGCCAGCGTACAACAATAATGCCTAACTGGTCCGAAACTTGTCGAAAACCAGTCAGGGACTCTGTCCACGACCAAAGCTATTACTATTATCAAATTGGTCAATTGTGACAGGTGACGGTAGATGGTTGGTAACTTTCGAAATTATTTAGATTTATTTGTGGCTCCATCTATACATGAATCCGAATACTTATTGTGTGTACATTCATATATTTTTTTAGTTTTTGAACCTAACGCTGAAGATAATGAGGAATACCAAAAAATTTTTGAAGAATTTAAGAACCTGGTAAGATTATTTTAATAAAATGTATAAATTATAGACAACAAAAAGATTTTGACACTCATACTGGTACTTTTTAAAAAGACGGTTTTGACCGTACTTTCTTACAGATTTTACAGAATGTTTTTACTTATCTGTATCTGATTATAATTCTAGTCTAAATATACAAATATTTTGAGAGTTTACAAATTGTTTAAATTGAGATTTTTAAATGTTTACAAATTTTGATATGCCGATCTTTTCTAAAAGAGAATTATAATTATTCAAACCCCTTTTTAGGTAGACTTCATGCTTGGGACATTTATGGAGGACATTGGAATCACTAGCGAACAGTTTGAGAATGCTTGTAAAGAAAGCAAAAAGTACCACGTTGCTTTCGATCCGGTAAGGAATTTAAATAGTTATTTATTCTTATTTAAATAATTTTTATTAATGTTGTTTATTCTTTACTCTCTATGTACAACACTGCAAAATATTTTTACGCAACAAGAAATATGTTGTATTCACGTATGAAAAGACAGTTTTGCTTTTTTACATTTCGATGTATATGTATTTTTATTTTTGATTAATATTCATGGCAAAACTCTGCCTGGGGCAGTTGATGGTTAGATTGAGTAGCTCATCAACTGTCACTGCCGGTCCCAAGCCCGGATAGGAAGGAATGTTTACAGATGAGGCCAGAAACTTGCCTGTGGTAAAAAGAATACCCACTCATAGAAATTACAACGTAGCTTCGAATAGGTTGGATAACAAAGATGACAACACAGCGACAACGCATACCAAACGAAACTGATGAAAAATCAAACCATTTTGAGTTGCAACTTGGAATGTTTAGGAATGAATTAGCAAACTCATTTGCTAATAAAGATACTGAAATAATAATGAAAATGAAGAAGTTTTATGTAGAGATTTTCAGAGATAAATAGATAGGCAAAGGAAAGGAAAGCATAGTCTGAAGTTGCCTTAGTGCACAAAAAATTCGAAAACAACAAGAACTTATAGGAGTGACCAGTCTGTGTTGGCAATCCTAACAAAATTGTGTGTAAAATCCTTAATCAAATAGAAAAAAGACTCTTTTTGCCATGAAAAAGTTAGTAACCTGTTATTCTTTGTAATAAAAAAAGATTTTGACAAATAAAACAAAACTAATACTTTGAAAGTCAAATTTGAAAAAAAAGCAAAGTATGCCATCATACCCAAATAGTCGGATATGATGGCATATTTTATGGTTTATTTTGACCTCCAAGGTAAATATTTCAAAATAAATAAAACAAAACTTTAACGGAATTCAAAAACTCTATTTAGAAATAAAAAAACATTTATATGCATAATTCACATTTAAACACTTTAATTTTTCTATCTACACCTGCACATTCTATATGACACCAACTGATAAACTTTTTACAACGACTCAGGTCTCTCCCTTTTTGGATATTGAATATAATTTATTGCAGTAGAGACAAGCTGCATCAGATTTATGGTCGCCTTCGTTCATTTTGACTTCTTCCTCTTCTTCGCTTTCGTCAATTATTCTTTTCATGGTTTCATTTTTCTTCCTAAGCACCTTTCGTCTTTCTTTCTCCTTCTTTTCTGCCTGTGCAAGTTGTACTGCTGCAATAGCTGGTGAATTGTTTAAAACACCTGCTTTCACTCTTCTGTTTTCACTTTCAGGCGCTTTAGTCACCGGCGATATTTGAAGGAAAATTTCCTTAAATTTTGACATTTTATTTTCGTCTGGTTTTGGAGAACTTGATTTGGAATCTACTTTTGAAGAAGAGGCTGCCTCTTCAGCTAGTTCTTCAAGTTCAGTGACTTCATTTGGCAAATCATTTTCTTCATTATTTACAATATTTGTAGTTTCAGCAGCAGCAAAAACATAATCAGGAAATATATCCATGTTTAGCAGTTGAATTCCTCTTTTAGAAAAACCACTCAAAGCGTTCTCTATTGTAGCTACTTTTTTGTATGCATTACAAAATAACTCCCCTAATTGAGCTAAGGGGCCTTTAACCATAATAAATTATTAAAGGCCCATAAACGCTTACATCCAATGATTGTAAACGATGTGTGCTATGAGGCAGAAGACAAAAAATATTCTTTTGTTTTGCAAATTGTAATACATCTAAGTTCTTATGACTTCCGTGCCCATCAACTAATGAAAGCACTTTTGAGGTCAATAATGGTTCCACGAAATCTCTAAAATGTATAAGCCATTTTAGAAACAAATCTCCATTAAACCATCTATTTTCTTGGCAACCCAAGTAACCTGGGTTATTTGGATTTGGGTTTCATTTTTTTCCTTGGATATTATGATACCGGGAGGAACAAATGTTATAATCGCATTTATGGCACAAATCACTGTAAAATGAATACTCTTCTCCGCACTTGTCAATATGCCAACCTGCTTTCGCCCTTTTGTTGCAAATATCTTTGTAGATCTGGAATGTACAGTAGAGAAGTCACTTTCATCCACATTCCAGATTTGGTTTGGAGACAGATTATTGTCGTCAATAAACTTTGTCAACGTTGAAAAAAACTCCATAATTTTTTTTAATCTGTGCACCCAATCCCATACTGCCAATGTCTTAGTTTTATTAAAATTATTGGAAATTGGAAAATGATTGGACTCTGCTATTTAAAATGCCAGTCTACGAAGTTCTACCATGTTTAAACCAAAAAACCGAACTTCAAGATCTCTTAAATGGGTGACCAGTATTTCTTCAAACTTTTCAAACAAACAAATAACCTTTACTGAAATCTGTAGCAAAACTATTTTTCTCATGAAATCTTCTACGTAACGTGCTTACTTATTTGTGACTTAAATAGCACGCGTACAAGGCATGTTTCAAACATATAAATTAATACAATAAGTATTCCAAGCTTATTACGTACCTGTCAATGATGAATTAGCACCCACGATTTTTTTAAAACTTCTTTTAACTTTGATAACCCAGCTTACTTTAACGTTGCCGTCGAATATGTTTACGCATTTGTACAGTACAGCGTGAAGTTGGTACATTGTAGTGTGGTTGAATTCAAGAGATATTGGAAGCGTGCCATCATACCCAGTATGCCATCACAGACTGATCTCCGATCTCCCCTATCAATGATATGATACTACAAAGCACATTCCAATTTCAAAAAAGGACAAAACCCATTAGTAAGATTGGCTAGACAGAAACGCAGATAGTGGAGTTACCTCATTAGTAGACTGGACGATGAGAGGCTCGCAAGAAGTGCAAGGTCTGAAAAACACAATATATCGAGTCCACCTGGGAAACCCCAAAACGGTAGTAAGAGATCTGGACATGGGAGCCACAAGACGTAATTTTTAAAGTTTTTCGAGTATTTTAGTGTAATTCAAAATATTTAGGTTTACTTGTTTGTTGCATTATATGCACTTTTTTTAATGTACCAGTATGCCAAATTCAAAAGAAAATAAAAAATATTCAAATACATATGAAGACTACAGGGGAAAAACGCTGTAATTCAATTTTTATCGATTTCTTGAGGAATACATTTTTCGATACTTGGATACACGTAGTACAATCTACAAATATCAAACAAAATAAAAGTGCAATAAGTCAAACGTTACAAACGAATAAAATAATGCTGTACAATGGAAGAGCGCTGCAAGTCAAGGTTAAACTAGGCAACAATGCTATAAGTCAGATTTAGGTGCTCAATGCGCCTCTCCGTAGGGACAATTTACAACGGAAAATTACAGTCAGTGTTCAGCATTCATACAAGTTGTTAATTTAAGTATCAATATTACCATAATCACAGTTTGTTTTTTAACGTTTGGTAAGTTTGAACTATTTTTTGTTAATATGGAAAGTGAGGACAGTTAAATTGAAGAGGCTTTACAGTCAAAAACTACAAGAAAACGAAAAAGTTTTGGGCGAATACGTGATGTAGCTAAAGCGCTAAAAGTGCAAACTCACGAAACAGGCGAGGACTGCCGTTGCAAACGTTATCAGTGTTTTGAAAATATAACGGTTGAACAAAGAAATACAATTATTCATAATTTTAATCCTATGCTGAATTGGGACGAGCAAAGTATGTATTTGGGTGGTCTAATATCCATACTTCCTGTAACTTAAAGAAGGCCAAGAAAAGATGAAGAGAATTGCAACGTAAAAGATGGCTCTTTTTATTACAGAATTCGCCTTGCGGTAACTAATGATGAGGGGCATACATCACCTGCAAAAGACGTTCAGGTTTGTCAAAAAGCTTTTGTTGCTCTTCATGGCATATCCACGAGAAGATTACAAACTGTACAAAAAGCTCTAAAACATGGTACAACCGCCAAGGACAATATAGAGGTAAACATGGCTCAAGACCCAATAAATTGTCTGAAGAAACTATGCAGTTAATTTTAAATCACATGAAATCGTTCAAAGGACGCATGAGTCACTACAGCCTAAAAAATCTAGCAGGAAGTACCTTTCAGAGGAACTTAACATTAAAAAGATGTACAAAATGTTCCTTGAGAAACATCCCAATAGAGCAGTGTGCTATGAAGTATATAGAAAAACTTTCAATACACGCTTTAATATCTTCTTTGGGTATCCCAGAACTGACCCTTGCAGCATTTGTTATGCTTCCAAAATAAAAATAAGGGAATGTAAAGATGAACAATTAATTAATAAACTTAAAACAGGGCAGAAACTTCACTTGCTGAAAGCACAGACATTTTACAAACGAAAAACAAAAGCTAAACTACGAGCAAGGATCTCAAGAGAATATGAAGTCATAGTCATGGACTATAATAAAAACCTTCCAATGCCTAATATTACGAGTAACGACGTGTATTATAAAAGACAGTTGTCTTTCTACTCCTTTAATGTCCATCGACTTAGTGATAATGATGTTATGTACTCGTACCCTGAGACAGTAGCTCGAAAGGGTGCCAATGAAGTTTGCTCATTTCTGTATGACTAGGTGACAATCCAGCTTCCTCCTGAAGTTCGTAAGTTAGTGATTTTCTGTGATTCGTGTGGAGGCCAAAATAAAAATTGGACGGTATTCCGGTTTCTACATTATTTAGTCCATAAAATAAACAGATTTGACTCTATTTCTGTGACCTTTCCTATAAGAGGTCACTCTTACATGGAGACGGATAAAGATTTTGGTATCGTTAATCAAAAAAGTGCAGCAGAAACCCCAGAAGATTGGGAAGCAGTGTTACGATTGGCTCGTCAAAAACCTGTGCCTTATAAAGTAGAAGTGGTTGATAACTACTTGGTGCGTAACTGGGACACTTTTCTTGTATCTATGTTTGTTACAAAAGCACCTTTTAAAACTAGACCAATAAAATAATTAAGAATTTTAAAGCAACATCCCAGACTAATTTATTTCAGAGACACCTACAATGGAACAATGGTTTCGGCTGTCATTAATAAAAAAGTGACTGGTAGGGAACCACCGTATACTGAAAAAGAATTAGTTTTTCCTTCTCGATCCTATATTGAGTCACTGCCCATTCCAATGGTAAAATACAAAGATCTCCAAGTTTTAAAAAAATTTTGTTCAGAAAAAGGAAGAATGTATTTTGATCAGCTAAAAAAAACATGACTTATTTTTTATCTTAAGAATTTTACAATGATATTGATTGATTTAACAGATAATATTAATGTTTTTAGCTTTAGTTAAGTTAAACAAGTCTAGTTCAACTTATTTTTTTCTTTCGTTGAATTCATATTATATTATTTTGTCAATTACAGCTATTTTGCCTTTTTCCTCCAGACCTTTGGTTGTTGTTTTTTTTAATTTCTCTCGTTATCTACTGTACATAACAATTTCAATTTTATAATATCATACTCTGTATATATGAGCTGTCAAATACTCAATACAATAGTCGTTTAGCATGTTTATTTATGAATTATAAAGTTTTGAATCTAAAAATCGCGTTTTCCAAAAATTTAAAAAATTGACTTAGGGGAGGATGGGGCATCATGGACCATGGGGGTAATGTAAACCACATCGGTTATTTTGTTTAAAATTGGCAACACTGCATCTAGTAACTACTACAAATATGCGTAGACATCTTATCTACTTTTAGTATGAGTTTGAACGCACGGGGAGTATGTTCAGACGTGTTATAATTAAAAACACGTGTTTCGTCGCTGCTGATCTAAGGAATTTACTACTTTTGACTAAAGATTTCTCGGTAAGTAGACATAATTATTTTAACTTTTTGATACTGTGGTGTTGCTTGTAAAATGTGCTTTTAATAATTAAGATTTGCTTTTGATACGTTGTGAACTGATACGTTAATTTACATATTTTGAATGTGTACTACGCATGGGGCAACGTGGACTAGGAGTATTTCACATTGCCCCATTATATTTTCTTGACACTTTTTTAATTATATGCTTCTTTTGCAGTTAGAAATGGTACGAAATTATGTGAGGAAAACTGAGCAACAATCCTGGTCTCTTGTTGCCTTGAAGAATGCTATCCGGACAGTTAAAGCTGGGGAGATGGGCTATTTAAAAGCTAGTAAAGTTTATGGTATCTCGAAAGCAACGTTAATTCGCAGATGCAAAGAAAAAGTAACAAGAATTTCTCCTGACGAAAAGGGTCTAGGTTTCTACAAAACGGTTTTTACCAAGGAACAGGAAGAAGAATTGTATAATTATATCTTAGATATGGAGAAGCGTTTATACGGAATTACTTTGCTTGATCTTCGTCACCTGGCTTTCCAGTTAGCCGAAAAAAATAACATAGACCATCCATATAATAAAACAAACAAACTTGCAGGTTTAGATTGGGCGTACGGATTTCGAAAACGGCACCCAGGGCTTTCATTACGTAAACCCGAATCAACATCTGCTGCAAGAGCTGAAGCTTTTAATCGTTACAATGTAAAACAATTTTTTGATCTGTATAAAGCTACTTTGGATTCTAAACATGTCAATCCAACGCGTGTTTTTAACTGTGACGAAACAGGTCTAGGTACAGTCCCCAAATGTAATAGTAAAATCTTGGCGCATAAAAGACGGAAACAAGTTGGACGGCTTACTTCTGCTGATAGAAGTGGAATAACAACAGCCGTTATTTGCATGTCATCATCAGGAATCTTCATACCGCCGATGTTAATCTTTGCAAGAAAGAGAATGAAAGTCGAACTCCAAGCTGGTGAACCTCCAGGTTCAATATTCGTCTGTAGCGAAAGTGGCTGGATAAATAGTGAACTCTTTTTAATATGGTTTCAACATTTTCTTCAACAAACGAAACCAAGTGAAGACGATCCGATCTTATTGATTTTGGATGGACACAGCAGCCATACAAAAATCATAGAAGTAATTAATTTGGCTAGGGAAAAACATGTACATATCATTTGTTTGCCTCCACATTCCACCCATCGAATGCAGCCAACCGATGTTGGTGTAATGGCTCCTTTAGCACGATATTATGATATGGCATTAGAAAAGTTTCTTAATAACAACCCAGACAGAGTGGTAACAGCTTTCCAAATCTCTAAAATTTTTGGTGAGGCTTTCTTACAAGCTGCAACACCTTTGACTGCTATTAACGCTTTTAAAAAATGTGGGATAGTACCTTATGATCCCAATATATTTACAGACCTCGATTTTGCACCATCTGCTACGACTGAAAGAGATTTGGAGAATAATAGTCTACCAGTGTCAATGTCAAGGCAATTCCTTCAACTTCAACTGCAGAGCCTCACTTAAGTCAAGATGAGGTAATTGCTTCAACCTCAGTTGCAAAGCTTCATACTGGTAACGATTTTCAATTGGCAATTGCCCTAAAGACATTCGTCCTCTGCCAAAGAGAAGTAAATTAATGGAACCAAAGAGGAAATCTAAAAAAGGTAAAACGGCTGTACTGACATCTAATCCGTATAAGCTAGAATTAGAAATTGAAATAAACACGAAGGAGGCAATAGAAACAAAGAAAAAGGAAAAAGCTAAGAAAAAAATAAATGATGATAAGCACGAAGATAGTGAAAGAAGTAACAAAAAAATAAAAGTTTGTCCTTCCAAAGATGGTAAGGGAAAGAAAAAAAATAAATGTAACCATCAAGTACAAGGTGATGGCAATGGTGAAGATGCTGAATGTTTTTACTGTAACGAGTGGTTCTCCTCATCAGCCAATGAAGAAGGATGGGTACGTTTCTCGGCCTGTCTGAAATGGGCTCATGAAGCATGTGCGGGAATAGATCCAGAAGATGATGAAGAATTTCAGTGTGAATTTTGTATTTCTGAATAAATATAACATGTGTCTATTTTTACTAATGTTCTGTTACCGGTTTTCTAAGTATTTTTAATAAAAAAATTCTTTTTACTTGATTTTAGTTACCAAACATAGCCATTAGATAATGAAATAGTGTGACTTTCCTCAGTAGTTCACATTGCCCCACCCTATGGGGCAATGTGAACTTTTGACATATAGTCAGTTGTCATTTTTTTGTTGAAAATACGTTAAATAAATTATGTTTAAATTGCAACTAAATGACAGTTAAATGTTTAATGAACGTCCCTAATTAATTAAACAAAACAAAATCATTTCTGGTTTAACAGTATGTGCATATCTTCCTTAGATGGTTCACAATGCTCCATCCTCCCCTACAGCGTTTTCCCCCTGTAGTCTTCATATGCATATGCACTTTTGCATATTTGCCTGACTCTAGCTATTAATGAAAGACAGAACACAAATTCTTCTATTACACGCCTGACTCTAGCTATTACAAATTTTTAATAATTCAGTTCCATATCATGTAATATTTAATACCGTTTCACTAGTAGATTATTATTATCTAACTAATTTTGTAGAATTCCTTTGAACAAGTTTGGGCAGCAAACGATTATGATATGTTTAAAAAGATGATGGCTCAACGAAACGTTGAATTACAACTTCAAGCTTTAGAATTAATAGAAAGAAAGTGTGGTAGAACCCCTCAGTCCTTTATTCCTACGAGTAAAACAGAAAACGTCCAAGAAATACCAGTTACAATAGAAAAATCTGTAGATCTGGAACACAATGTAATGGAGGAAGTATCAAAGTAAGCATTTAACAATCAATATAATGAATGTATTATTAATTAATTATGTACGATATTGTGCAAATGAAAGAAATTAATTCGAGATTTCGTAAGCCGGCGACTTTAAGCAAAAATCCTGAAAACGGTCGGTTTTTATTTTTAAACAGCCTATTCGTAAGTTTGCCTTTTTATTTTTGACGTCATCTATGTGAGCGTGATGACGTCATTGTCAAAATTTTAAAATATAAATGTGGATGTTGTAATATATTATTTGAATTAAATAGCTACTCAGCCATATAAATATGTACAGTAATTGATTTGCGTATTGTCACAAATATTAATGAAATTTCAACAGATTTCTTTAAAAAATGTATTAAGTATTGGTATGATGTAATTATCTTTGGTAATGAAATGTCTTATCTATCTAGTTTTTACCTTTTTTAAAAAGCTAGTTACCTTATCAACGTCAACATTGATACTTGGACATTTAAACTAAATTAACTTTCTGCCAAGTGATTAATAGTATTATTGTAGTAGAAGTATACAAAAAGTCTTTGTATCTATCAATAAGAAGCTGACTAAAACGCAAAGAATTGAAATTCTAATAATGATTGGTTGTGGAGATAAAAAACGTGTGCAGAAAGAAATATGTACATTATTTAATAATGTATACCCCAACCGAGAAACTATTTCACAATCCACTGTAAGTAAAATTGAGAAGAAATTCAGAGAAACGGTTCATGTCAAATACCTCCCTAAAGGTAGTAGAAAACCAATATCTAAAAACAAACAACTAGAAGTTCTGTTAGCCTTTTGAGATAATCCCCATGCCATTTCACGGCAAGTAACATTAGATAATGACATTCTTCATGACCATTCAACAGTTCTTAGAAAGCTGAAGAATGAAAAGTGGTATCCCTACAAAGTAAGTTTAGCACAAGAACTTATGGAAGATGATTTTGATAGACGAAATGAATTTTCTTTTTCTTCTTCTTCCTTCTTTTATGTAGGCTTTAAAGCCTGTTTCTTCTTCAATATTAGCCTAATAAATTATTTAAATTATTACACCATATTTTTCTTGGTCTGCCAATACGTCTTGAATTTTTAGAAATTATAATGGAACAAAATAACAGAGATCCGATGTTTTAAAAAAAGGTTCTTTTCTCTGATGAAGCTACATGTCTACTAAACGGTCATGTCAATCGTCAAACTTATCGGTACCGGGCTATGGAAAATCTATACTGGATGCAAGAGTACTCTACTTAATACCCAGAGAAAGTTAATGTTTGGGCGCGAATACTAGATAATAGGATTATTGGACCATACTTTTTCGAAGAAGCCTTAACAGGTCCTCGATATTTAGAATTTCTTCAAAACTTTTTGCTTCCTGAATTGAACCGGTTGTTTTAAAACAGAAATGATTTATGGTTACAGCAAGATGGTGCGCCTCCATACTGTGCTAACAACGTCTTTCCAAATCGGTGCACGGGTCGAAGAGGAACAATAGAATAGCCGGCTAGGTCACCTGATTTGACTCCTCTTGATTTCTTTTTATGGAGATACTTGAAAAATAAAGTGTACCAAAATAAACTACAAAACATCAATGAACTCAAAGAAAGGATAAGTATTGAGGTTGCACAAATCACTCCGGAAGTTATAGAGAAGGTCGAAGAAGAGTTTACGACACGTCTTTCTCATTATCTTTTAGCTGAAGGTAAACAATTTGAACACTTAATTTAGGTTTCGTTGTATTTAATGAAGCCACATAGACGATGGATATGGGTAAGCCCAAATGGAAACGTAAAAAATGAAATAGATATCTTCATAACAACACATAAAAGATATGGCAAAGATGTCACAGTATTAAATCAGTTTGGCATTGGTAGCGATCATCGAGCAGTGAGAGCTACAATACAGTTAAACTTAAAAAATGAAAGAACAAGATTAATAAAGAGAAGAGAATTGAAAAGATGGAGTACACCAGAAAACACAAAAGAATATGTGAAAGCTATAAATCGGGCCTTAAACCACCCTCTTTCGACAGATGTTGAAACCGTAAATAATGCAATCACAGAAGCGTTAATGACTGCACAAAAACAGTACTGTGCTAGACCAGCCAAAAAAGAAGAGAAACTGAGCGAAAACACCAGAAAGCTCATTAAAGAAAGAAAAATCAAGAGATTAGAGCAGAAAGGCGACTCAGCTGAACTCAGAAATCTGAGCAGAGATATCTCAAAAGCAATTCGTAAAGATCAGAGGAAGTATAATACTGAGAAAATACAAAATGTGATTGAGCAAAATGGAAATATGAAAATACTCAGAAGAAAGCTTTGTGATGGTAAAAAGGAAATTGTTAAACTAAAAGACAAGGAAGGTAATATAACAACAAATAGAGAGAGAATAGTAGAGATATCAAAAAGCTTCTATGAAGAATTATACAAAAGCCAGTTAACAGAAGAAGACAAAACACAAATTAGAGAACGCAGAGTAATGAACCAAGGATCCGAACTTCTGCCTACCATAACGATAGAAGAAGTGAAACGAACTCTAAAGGAAATGAAAAACAACAACGCTCCGGGAGATGACCAAATAGTAATAGAAGCTGTTAAAGTAGGATGCAAGCTACTGCTGGAAGTAGTAACTGAACTATTCAACCTATGTCTAAACCAAGGTATTGTCCCTACAAAATGGAACAATGCAATTACTATCCTAATACACAAAAAAGGAGACATATCAGACCTAGAGAATTATAACCGATAAGTCTGTTGTCACATCTCTACAAATGGTTTACCAAGATCATCACAAAACGTTTAGAACGTTTAGAAACGTTTAGAAAATTAGATTTCTATCAGTCTAAGGAGCAAGCTGGGTTTAGGAAAGGTTATGGAACAAATGACCACCTACAAGCACTTAAAATACTAATTGAAAAATGTGTTGAATATAATAAACCACTCACGTTGATTTTCATAGACTTCAAGAAAGCTTTTGATACCGTGGAATTACCGGCAGTATTAGGAGCATTAGAACAAAGCCGAGTAGACTATAGATATACAAATTTGATAAAACATATATACAACAACGCAACAGCATCTGTTAAACTCCATGACTTTACCGATAACTATTGAATTGAGCGAGGAATTAGACAGGGCGACACCATCTCCCCCCAACTATTCACTGCAGCTCTGAAATATGCCTTTAAAAAACTAAATTGGGCTAAAAGGGGAATAAATATTGATGGTGAATACTTAAGCCACTTGCGCTTTGCAGATGATATTGTCATTATAGCCGAGAGTTTAAATGAAGTTCACAAAATGATGGAAGAACTAATACAAGCAATAGAACAAATAGGCCTGAACATAAACTTTGAAAAAACAAAATACATGACCAATTTAGTTCCAAGTGATGTTATGAGAGTAGATGGGAACGAAGTACATCAGGTCTTTAGCTATATCTATTTAGGGCATGAAATTAGAATAGGAAAAGACAATCAAACTTGTGAGATCCAGCATCGCATAGGCTTGGGATGGGCAGCATTTGACAAGATGCGAGATATTCTAAAAGGAACGCTACCGATTTGCTTGAAGAAAAAGGTTTACAACCAATGCATACTGCCAGTAATAACATATGGTTCCGAAACAATAACTTTAACCAAACATCCTGCAAATAAATTGAGAGTAACCCAAAGAAAAATGGAAAGAGCAATGTTGGGAATAACTAGAAGAGATATGGTATCAAATAGGATAGTGAGAGAGAGGACTAAAGTGACAGATGTCATAGAAAAAATTGCACAAGCCAAATGGAGATGGGCTGGACATATAGCACGTTTAAATGATAATAGGTGGAACAAAAGACTCATAGAATGGAGACCTAGAGAAGACAAAAGACACCGAGGCAGACCACCAAAAAGATGGATGGACGACTTGAGAAAAACAGTCGGAAATTGGATACAGAAGGCGCAAGATAGAGAACAGTGGAAGAACATGGAGGAGACCTATATCCAACAGTGGATGCAAGAGGTTGAGGAATGATGATGGTGATGATGATGATGTATTTAATAAATAATAGATAATAAATATTAATTGTCATACTAACTTTATTAATTTTTCTAATACAAATATCAATTATTTTGACATATTGATATGGCTAAATGGGTATTTAAGAGACTTTCAAATATTATTATATTAAAAAACCTGCATTTCCATTTAAAAATTTTTAGCAAACGTCATCACGCTCACACAGATGAAGTCAAAGATAAGAAGGTATTCTTACGAATAGTCCGATTTAAAACATGTCTTCGATATTCATTGCCAGTGGACATTACGGCATTTCAACAGGTTTAACGTAGAGAAACCGGCGCAAACGGGAAACCAACAAACTCAACAGGTGGGGAGAGATGACAGAGCCGGGAAAATAAAAAAAAAGATAGTGTACACTGTCCCAAACATTGGATGTATACGATTGTAATATTTTAATACCTTAAGTGATTATGAATTAACCAATTTATAGTATTTGAAAAGCGGAAAAAGAAGATGTTACATTATTTGAATAAAAATAATAATGTTACACAACAAACAAGACGTCATGGTAATACCGAGAGAAAATACAAAGGAATTGGCAATACCCGCTCCGTCCATCATCCAAATGAAAATAGTAATAATGAAAATTTATATGTTTTTTATAAAAATATGTAATCAAACTAGTGATTAAGTAAAATAACTTTACAAGTTGAAGACAGTAACACACCTACATAAAGTGTGAAACAATTCATCAATTTAGATACTATATTCATCCAAACAAAAAAGGTTTTTCAGGTTGTCTGGCATGAAGAAATGAGACTCAGTTTTAAAAGCATTATAATAAGAAAAGAATGGTAATATGACTTCAAAGAAAATGCTAGGTAGTATAAAGTGACTATCCCAAAACAATTGACAGTTGGGATAAAGAAAACCAACCTGGCTGCTAAATATAGGATGATCTCAAGTGTTATTTACCCTAACAATTATGAAGCAAGGGAGCGGAAAAATTTCCAATCTATCTAATTTCGGATTATTATTGTTTTTCTTTTTAGGAATTTTACGCCAGATTCTGAAGAACCATCATCTTCTTTAATAAAACCTGAGATTATTTTGGAAGAAAAAGAATTATTAGAAAAAGCGTTAGAAGAAGCAAAAGGTATGTAGTTTATCGATTGTTTATTTTTGCATTATTCCTGAATTGTTTTTTTCTTCTTCTGGATATCGTCTCTTCTATATCGGTCTATTGCAGCTAATTGGCTTTTTATATATCTTCAATTAACTAGTATAGAAGTCTTAGGGCAGACGGCTATATATAAAATCTCCTGGAACACCCGCCAGACATTTTATTTGGCCATGGACTACCCAGAACTCTTACATCAAGATAAACTTTTTAATAGCAACAGTATGTTCTACTGAAAATGCCTTACTCATTTTTGGGTTCTCTTGAATATGAAATCTCATCACAGGATGAGTCAGTGTTGTTGTGTGATTGAAATAAAATGAAGTTTGAAGTTTTTAAATAGGTTTGAATGAATTTTGGTCTATTTTTTTTAGCATTGTACTGATTTTCATCGTTTTTAAAATATTTTTTTCGTATGTAACAAGAACGAGTGGACCGATTGAAAATCCCTTTGTCCAATCTCGAAACAATACAACGATACTATAAAGATGAAACTGTGCAAAGTTTCAGCAAAATCGGTCACTCGTTTTCGAGAAACCGTGCCTACCGCATGGAGAAACAAAGTTTCGAGAAAAACGCGTTTGAAATTTTTAAACTGAGAGCGCACGTACCTACCGACCGCGCGTTATTCAAATCTCTATAACTTCAGTAATATTTCTCGAATTTACTTCAAATTTGGTGTGAATACTCTTGAAGTACTATACTTTCATATGAAATAAAAACAATAAATCGATTTTGTTTAAATATACTACTTATGTAACCCCTTAATAAAATAGCTGCAGCGCCGGAGATATATCCTATGGTATTCACTTTGTTAAACATTATTCACACCTGTCATGTATTTATAGAATGCTTCCTGGAAACCATTATGCCACGCCGTACCGGGTATGAAAACTTCCCCGCCCAGTCTGATCTGTGCGGAATACTGGAAAGCTCAGACTCACAGTCTCAGACCAGAAGAACTAAATTAAATACACGTGACTTTTCAAATGATTTTGACAACGTTAAGCATGAAAAACTCATAAAACTTCTTAAATTCGCAGGCATAATCTCAAACCACATTAATCTAATAACAAACTAGTCTACAAGAATAAAAATAAACAGAAACTTTTCAGAAAATTCTCCAAAAAAAAAAGAAAATAAATATCCGAATAAATTCGAGTATCTCACCACCAAATACATCACCTAACAAGAAGCGAAACAAAGGGCTTTTTCACAGTTCAAATTTCTGTGACAATCCGCCATGTTCTAAATAGTTTGAACCTATAGTTTGAACCTCTGTCAACCCATAAAAACTGAAGTTTGTTATTTGTTTACGTATTGAGAAGTGTTGTTTCGTATGTGTTGTTTAATAGTAAAAAAAAGTTTATTGTGTTGTTCGTGGGTGCCCATCTAAATCTGGTGAGGAAATAGATAAGTCTCTCTTCAATACCGAGAGATCGTGGCAGGTAAACAAATAAAATTTTAAATTCAAACGCGTTACAAAAGTTATCTGAACATTTATATTTTAGTTAAATATAGTTTTTTTTAAATACAATTCATACAAAACAGGTCTACTTAAAAAACATTAGTTTTAATGAATACTTCGTTCATCGGTGTAACTATAATTTGACTACCGTTTTGAACGACTTCCTCATTACTTTTCTTAGTGCACTAAGTAGTTTAACTGTCATTGTTACTCCGAAATTTCTGTCCTACGAACATCAAAGGTAGGTACCGACAAAGCTTTCGCTTCTTGGTGGGTGGGTATTCTGTGATCTCACCATTCTCCTACACCTATTTCATAGTCTGCGTTTCATCAGGGAACATGTGAGATAACTTAATTGAACCGACGCGTATCATTCAGGTGACCATTATTAGTAAATGCTAATATTGGCCTCGACCTACAAAAAGGGTTTGTCAAGGATGTGCGATATATGACCTACACTTTTTAATCTGTAGGCACTTAGAAGCTATTTTTACGAAGACAAAGTCTGAGGACCCAATCCCTCATAATAAAGAGGATGAATTGAGAATTCACGTCTCAAAAACAAAACAGATGCTTATAGGCAAACAACCAAGTAGGTACCTAGAAGATTTATGTGAAGAAAAATACCTGTATTTGGAAATGATCGTTCACAATCTATAGAGCACGACCACAGAGATCAAATCTCAGAGAGAAGGCAAGGTGAACTTTGATCAAGATGAAGTACATAAATAAAGCACAGAATAACTAATGAAAACTGAAATAATAACAAAAGTTATCTTTCTGATTGATAACTACTATCAATTAACTGTATTAACCCCGACTACTAACGTGGACATTGTTGGTTGCCTAGGGTGTAAAAACGATCATTATTATCGTCATGTCATGATATTATTAATTAAATATCTTAAAATAAAAGATAATAAAGTGCCTGTTGTAAAATTTAATAATGTTCAAAATATTAAGAAATTAACACGCCTCTTAAGTTAAATCATAATGTTGATTTGTTTAATAAAGGAACAGTTTTACAATGGTGGGTAACTTTCTTATTAAATATTGTTTTGTTTAAATTGTTTAAAATTCGGCTCTGAGAACAGTCAAACGTTTCGATTTGGCAGTCGAAACGTTAATGATAAAAAGTGTATTATGTAATTTATGTGATATTTTAAAAACAATTTTGTAGATTCTTCAGAACGATCCCTAGAAAACGAAGGTAATAAATGTTTAAGTGTCTTTAATATTTTTTAACATACATTCATTTTTGATAACGCTTCAATAATAAAGCAATTTTTTATAATTACATATTATATAAAGTATATTTCACGAATTTGCGAGTGTTTTGGATGATCGCTAGACATTTAACATCAAATGCTCCACTCTACTGTACAGCATTAGAAAGTACGAAAATAGATTGCTCTTGAAATGAAAATAAGAAACAAGTAATTTCTAAATTTAATTTAAAAAATTCTTTTATAACCTTTTTTACAGTATTTGATTAAGAATTTATTTACAGATAATCTTCTGATACATACAATTCATGTGCAATGCACATTGCAGGCGGAAATGTTTAACAGATTTAGATTTTTTAAATATTATTTTATTTTATATTTGCAGTAAAATATTTATTATATAAATGTGGTTATAATCAGTGAGCTGAGAGATTAACATAAGCGTAGATACACTGCATTCCAAAATTAACGCATAATTTTAAAAACCCTGGTAAATCAAATAATTTTAACGTTTCGATTTTGGTGCTAATATATTATTGTTACCCCCGGTATATTGTAAAATTTATCGAAAGAACGGTAAAAAACGCTGATGTTTTTACGATTTTTTGCAAAAAAATTAAAAACGTGCCAATTGTGCTTCATCTTATTTCTAATTTAGTTGAGTTAGATTACGTTATGCTGAACGTTTAAAGGGGTTTTTCAAGTTTATTAAGTGTTTTTTCTTTTAAATGAACCACCAGCAGCAAGAAAATCAAAATTTGTCAGAAAGTGACTGTTTTAGAATCGTTACTCTTCGCGAAGAAGGATACACTCAAGTAGAACTGGCTGAACGTTTTAACGTCACCCAGTCAACCATTTCAAGAGTGTTAACACGTTTTTCTGTTACTGGAAGTAACTCGGGAAGACCCAGTCAAGGCCGTAGAAGGGTTACAACTTCTAATCAAGACCGGTTTTGACACTTCGTATACTGAGACAAAGATTTGTTATCAGTACTTCTCTACAAAATGAATTATTTGGATCGTTATAACTTTAGAATCAGCCAAAATACGATTAGAAGAAGACTTGCAGAAAACGACCTACACCCTGGAAGGGCACCAATTGACCCATTGTTGACAAGAGACCATAGAAGGCAAAGATTGCATTTTGCGCGTGAACATGTTGATTGGAATAATGACGATTGGGGAACAATATTGTTTACCGATGAATCCGGGTGCTGTCTTTTTTCTGATGACAGGAGAAACCGAGTGTGCAGAAGGCCTGGGGAACGCTACGCACAGTGTAACGCCGTAGGGACTGTACAGTATGGCAGCGGCTTGTTAATGGTGTGGGGTGGGATTAATTTAGAGGCTCGTGTGGAATTAGTTAGAATAGATCGCGGTCGGCTTACATCGCAGATGAATATAACAGACAATTTAGAAGAGCATGCCGTGCCATTTGCACCATTTATTGGAGATAATTTCATGCTTATGCAAGATAATGTCTGGCCACACTCGGCAAGAATTGTGCAGCAGTATCGTCAGGAGGTTGGAATTCCTGCCATGGATTGGCCTGCAAGAAGTCCTCACCTCAACCCAATAGAACATGTTTGGGACATCATAGGCAGACGACTACAACAACTGCCTAATGCACCAAACACATTAGGTGAGCTGTTTTTGCGGTTGGTTGAAATTTGGGATCAAATTGATCAAGAAGAAATCGAACGTATATTCTCAGTATGAGAGATCGTTGTCAAGCAGTAATAACTACCAGAGGAGGCAATACTCGATACTAGTACACGGTACTAGTATTTTCTTCAACTTTAAAAATTTCAATTTCGTCATTAATTTATAATGTTGGTTTGTTTAGATCAGTTGTTTGTTTAGATGTTTAGATTTATGATGTTATATTGTTAATTTCAATACATTTTTTGTAAAAAAAGAAAAGTTTTTTATTTCTTCTTCTTTAAGTGCTGTCTTCGTTCCGAAGTTTGGCTATCATCAAAGCTATGCGTATTTTTGATGCTGCAGATCTAAACAGTTGGTAATTGGTGCAATTGTACCATTCTCTCAAGTTTTTCAACCATGAATGCCTTCTTCTTCCTATAGATCTCTTTCCCATTATCTTCATTTAAGATTTTATTTTATTTTATTAAGTTTTTTATTTAAGATGTTCTAAAACAACCATAAAGCAGAAAAGAACAAACAAAAATGTTTTCATTATAACTCAAAATAAGAATTTTAAAATTATGCGTTAATTTTGGAACGCAGTGTATTTATTGAATTCTACGTAGCCTGTTTTTCACCATTCGGAGCAACTGATAGAGTTAATGGATTTTGGGAACAGCTATGACCTTGAACATTTCACATAAACTTGTGTACTAAATAGACATAATGCATAGCTCTTGTCAAAATCCAATACATTAATAATATAATTACATATCTTCGATTCTAAAATATTGTAAAAGACTTTAAAGAGTATGAGTAAGAAAAGAGATATTTAGTTATATTCTTTGTGGCATTTTCAAGGTCATAGCTGTTCCCAAAATCCATTACCTATACCTTACTGTAGCTATATACACCCAAACCGGTTGCAAATTAACCCAGTTCGGGCCAAACCAAGAAAGAATGATTAATTTTTAGTAAAATTTTTCTGTGTCAACGAAAGATATTTGTAAAAATGTATAAAAAAAATTGGAATTTTTCAAAAAATGTTTGAATTACGACATGGTGCATATAGGTACTCACCATTGGCAAATCTAAGAACAAAATTTGTACAAACAAAAATAAACTAATTTAATTTTTGCTGTGAAATTTTTTAAAACTTGTGAAATTTATAGTACAAATGCACTTTATACAAAGGTAAGTAGAATGATTTTTACACTCTTTGCACCTTTTTCGGCCAAAATAGGGTACCAAAAGAGACATATTATATTGCATACGGGATGCGGGTATAAATCATGGTTTTATTGATAAAGAGGCTCTTGTGTTTCGCCAAAATCAAGATCAGGTGATTATCACGATAAAATGAATACAAGAATGTTTATGAAATGTCTGAAAGAAAAACTGTTTCCAAATTTACGTGAACCATCTGTATAGTTTTGGATAATGCCCCATACCATTGGGAAATTTTAAATAAGCTACCAACAAGTTCCTGGGCAGTATTTAAAATAAAAGAATTATTAACGAATGAAAATATTTCTTTGCCTCAGAATTCTTTTAAGACTGACTTACTAGAGTTAGCCAAAAGGAATGAAAAACCAAAAATATTTACAGTACACAAGATTCATAGTACCCATAAAAAGCAGGTTCCTATAATGTTATAACTTTCCTATACTATTGTACGGAGTTGAGTCGTGGACTCTCACAGACGCTACCTGCAAGAAAATTGAGGCTTTCGAAATGTGCCTTTATCGTCGAATAAGCCAAAGAGTTGTTTACCAAAATAAAAACAGCCAAAATTGAATACCTCGGTCACATCGCGAGGAACAGCGAAAAATACGGGTTGCTGCAAATAATTTTTTCTAGTGAAAGTAGAAGGAAAACGAGGACCAAGAAAGCGAAGGATTTCCTGGCTGAAAAATCTACGTATGTGGTTTAATACAACAAGTACAAATCTTTTCAGAGCAGTAGTGTGCAAAATACAGATTGCCATGATGGTCGCCAACTTCCGGATAGGTACTTCAAGAAGAAGAATGAACCCAGTCAACATTTACAATCCAAATAAAAATACCGTCTACAGCGATTATGAGTATGAATTTAATTGGTGATTATACTGTAAGGATATTCTTTTATCAGTAGGTAGGTAAATACTTACCAGTACAATTTAGAAACAATAGAATTTGTAATTTTCTTCTAGTTTTGCATTAATAATTATATATTTTCTAAATACATATAACATACATTATTAGTTAAAACTTTATTTGTGCTTGTCCGCAACAGTGCTTCAAATATTGTGCTTCGACAGTGCTGTCATTACTAATAAAAAATAGTCGCAAATTCGTGAAACGTACTATATTCTCATTTGCTTAGATATGTAGATGTGCTTCTACATCTTTTTAAAATAAAGCTTTGTACAGTATGTTCCTGAATTTTAATAAAGTAGATAAAACATTAACTTTTTTGAAAATGTTTACATGTTTTTTTTTTATTTAAAGGTCACTTTATAAATGAAACGCCTAAAATTCCACAAACTAGAGAAACAGCTCCAGTTAAAAAAGAAGAAAACATTGCTGAAGAAAAAGAATCTCTTATAAAATTAGAAAATGAGAAAAAGAAGGTAAAAACAAACATAAATTAGAAATATTTATTTGTAATCTTACTAATAATTATTTAAATAGGTAGGTACAGTTGCGGTCACGGAATAGTTTACACCTTACTTTTTACATTGTAATACTGTAAAATTGCAGTGTCTACGGATTTGATAAATGTCAAAGTCAAAAAATTTCAAAACGTCAATGCTTTCGCGAGTGTTCAACAATAAAATAAAAGTATATTAAACTCTTCCAAAATGGTTAGAATACATTTGAATTATGCGCAAAAAGCAAGAGCAATTGCCAAACTCGAAGAAGGTTGGTCACTAAGGCAAGTTGCTGCTGATTTGAACGTGAGTCATATGTGCATATGGAAGATTAAACAAAGATGGGATAATTTTCACTCTATAGCACGGTTGGGCGGTTCAGGAGGGCAGAAGATTTCCACAGATCAACAGGATGAGATGTTAGTAGATTATTTGAGAGAATCTCCTTTTGCCACAGCTCAAAAGGCAAGAGAAGAGGCAGCGTTTCCAGGCAGTATTCGCACTGCACGTCGAAGAATTAAAGCAAGTGGACTGCTAAATTGTGTAGCTGCACGGAAACCTTTTTTGACTGAGGATCACAAGAGGAGACGAGTTGAATTTTGTAATGAATTTATAAACCGCGATGAGAATTTTTGGTCTAGGGTTGTATTTTCCGATGAAAAAGTATTTCAGTCGTATAATAATGATCGAATAAGAGTTTATAGGCCGAGAAATCGTAGGTATGATGAACAGTATACGCATCATTTAAGAAATAGTGGAGGATTCTCTGTCAACGTATGGGGATGGATAAGTGCCGAAGGCCCGGGCGTTTGTTATCATGTAGAGGAGAAGTTAACAGGATTATATTACAAACATATTATTGAGCACACAATGTTGCCATCGGTGATCCAGAGATTCCCCAACAACGACTTTATCTTCCAACATGACAATTGCCCGGTGCATACGAGTAGAATTGTTCGAGAATGGCTAGAAGAAACTGATGTTAATGTTCTTCCGTGGCCTTCCCGTAGTGCAGACTTTAACCCCGTCGAAAATGTGTGGGCAGAGTTAACAAAGAAACTAAATGAAAGAAACCTTAGACCACGGAATAGAATTGAATTATGGGAAGCAATTGAGCAGGCATGGGAAGAGCTTGTTAACTATAACATGAGGGGATTGGTGCTATCTATGAACAGAAGACTGCAAAATTGTATTGATAAGAATGGGGCTTCCACCAAATATTAATTATTATTTACCATTGTTTATCGTTATTTAATATAAAATAGATTTAAAATAAAATGCATATTAAAAAAAAGACTTCTTTATTTTCGTTATTAAGATCATAATCCATTTTATTCAAAAAACTGTTTTCTATATTTTTCATTTTGTAAAATATTTTGATATTTTAATTTTAATCTACCTATTCTAGCTAGTACACCACTGGCAACGTCACTTTGACGTAAAAGGTGCGTTTAAACGAAGTAAAAATTTAAAAAATGGGCTCCTAGATACGTGAACCTGTAAACTATTCCGTGACCGTAACTGTACATATTTTTAATAATGTCAGAAAGTTGTTACAATAACTGTGTTTTTCAAATTGTATCATCTAAATATGTCAGGTCCATTCAATATATCCTCTTTAATTGCTTTATTTAATAAATCAGTCTATGGCCTGTTAATTGAATTCCAGGGGAAACAAAAATAACATTTAAAATATAAATGTTTATATTACCTTAAAATCATAAATAACCTTTATATGAATCAAGTGCCATCTGTGAGAGTAGGACTGGAAACTACATCATATTTTTCAATCGAAAAAGGTGTACGACAGGGTTGTTCTATCATCCCTTCTTTTTAATCTTTACTCTGAAACGATTTTCGATAGAGCCTTATGTGACACTGAAGATGGAATCAAAATCAACGGACATACTATTAGTAATCTTCGCTATGCTGATGATAGTCATAATAGCTGATAGCCAAGAAGCGCTACAACGACTAATAGATAGAATAAACACTGAAGGAGAACGACTGGGCTTAACGATTAATATAGACAAGACGAAAGTAATGGTGGTTAGCAGAATACGAAATATGCAATTAAATATAAGAGTAAACAATAAGAACATCCAAAAGGTCTATAAGTTCAGATATCTCGGATAACCGAAGATCTAGTTCCAGACATAGAGATACGTAGCAGGATTGAGCAAGCCAGAACAGCATTTACTAATATGAGAACCTTGCTAAGCAACAGCAGCCTTAATTTAACGCTTCGATATCGCTTTATAAAATGTTACATTTACTCCATACTGCTATATGGTGTAGAAACCTGGACCATAAACGCCAATGTGATGAACCGATTGGACGTCTTTGAAATGTGGGTATTTAGAAGACTACTTAAAATTCCCTAGACAGACCACACAACAAATTTCGAAGTATTAAATCGAATAGGCACAGAACGAGAATTGCTGCCAATAATAAAAAGAAGAAAAACTACTTATCTGGGTCATATATTTCGAAATTCCAAGTACCAGTTCTTAAAGCTTATTATGGAAGGGAAGATAGAAGGAAAACGTGGCATTGGAAGAAATAAATACTCATGATTTAAAAACATAAGGGATTGGACAAACCTCGAGTATGCCAGAATTGTCGCCAACATCCACTAATTGGATAGGGCACCATAAGAAGAAGAATATTACTGACAAAGCCTTTTTGCATTCCTTCTTTTTTTCTTGTGGTGTCTATTTTAGGATAGTGTAGATCATTATCAAAGCACTAGAAACGAGAAAGCGGTCATCTTTAGATATTGTAGTCATAACTCGCCCTGAACCAAGAAGAGATTGAGGACCAGCTTCTTCGTACCACCGCCATAGTCCAGTGACTGCGGCCATGTTCTAAAGCAGCTTCTCAATTATTACTGCAACAGCAGAATTTCTGCTCAGTGCAATACACAAACAATTTGCAATCGACAGATAATGGTTTTTAGTAATTTGGGTGAGTGGCCTCTTTTGTCAAAGGCTTATCGAAACAACTTTCTTTCAAGCAATCAGTAAAGTATGTTACAACCGAAAAAAAAAAACGAAACAATATAAATGTCTAAAATTACGGGGTGGACCTGATTTTATGCTCCCGGTAAATTATGGTTTAACCTCTAATTTAAAAGCTTACAAAAATATATTTTTTCTAGGTAGATGCAATAGAATTAAAAAAACGTCAAGAATATTTAAGAGCACAACGAGATAAATTAGTAGCGTTAAAGAAAGAAGCGAGAAAAAAACAGCTGGATTCAGGTAAGGAAAAAGATTATTTAATATTCTTATTCTGGTGTAACAACGCATACAAAGGTTTCCCTCCCCTTCACTGTAGGCACGTATTACACATTCTTTCGCTAATGTAACCGTGCCAGAGTTTTAAAATTGTCCCTACTGCGGAAGATTACAAGTATTGTACCACTTTTAATGAAATTCTCCCCCCTCCCTTCCAATGTAACCAAATTAAAATCTAGGAGAAACTTCTTCTTTTGCTTCTTCATTCAATATTGTCCCCATGAGCTCATCTGCTGTTTTCCTGATACTGATATCTTACTACATGGTCATTGGTCACCGTGAGGTCGGTCCCATCCCACCCATTTTTTTATGGTTGTCTTGATATCTTTCATTTTTTTCTCATAATCTACCTTATAGACATCTTTTCGTCTGTTATTTAAAATCGCTCTTTCCATATTTTGTTGCGTAACGTGTTTATGTGTGGAGATTTGGATTTTTCTTCCACTCCGCTGTCTGCGTATATTTTTTGGCTGAGAGTATATTTGATCTATGTAAATATATTCATCAACCTCTATGGTTGTGTCTTCGAGCTCAATGTTTAGCTACGAGTGTACACTTCATCTAATTTATATAACGATGCACGTCATCGGCGTCATAGCCTGTGACGTCATATGATACCAACACGAAATATTTAGGGTTTAGGTGTGTTTTTTTCAGAATCACTTTACCGATTACACTGGCATTACAGCCACTAGACATATTTTATTATATACGCGTTGAAATAATATTTAAAAATTTTTATTAATGTTAACTTAAAGAAATACACAATAATATGTTTCATTTAATTTGTATAAATCCATTATAAAGAGTTTTTATCAAGAACATTTGTTCGGAACACACTGTAACTGCAATCGAACGAAGGTAAAATTTTGGCATAAATTGGTAACATTTATTTGACAGTTGCGGTGTTTACACTTTTTGTACTTTATTATTTTAAATTTTAAAGTGACTACCTCTTGTTTTATATTTTTACCTATTTAACAAAATCTGTTCTTTTTAGAACAAAATTAGTGTGTTTTATTTCAAAAATGTCACGTAAGAATTTAAATAGTCGTTGTAAAGAGATGGTAATACTTTTGCAATAATTATGTTACCAATTTTATTTAAAATGGAGTCAGGATTTTTTTATACTTTGGCAACTATGTCAACTTCGATCTCTGACGTAGATAATGACGTAAGTCGTTATCTAAATTAGATGAAGTATAGGTTTTTACGCTCGGTGTTTTCTAAAGGTACATTATTTTTGTGTACATCAAGTATTTGCCGGTCGCAAGCCAGGATAAAAAAGAGGGTTATAGCGATATGCCAGCCCCCTGTCCTATGTAAAAAAGTATTACTAAAAAAACCTAATCAAAAGCCTCGCCTATAAGATGGACTAAGTTACTGAAACGGTTTACTACTTGTGGAACATGTAATGTACAGGGTCTCTCAAAGAAAATAAAGTTATAACTGAAATAGACGGGTTAAATAAATAGTATTTTAAACAATTCAACCAAAGTGTACAGGGGCAACATCGTACAATCATATTGCACTTATCAACTTTGCAGAGGCGTACCAAAATAATATTTTACATAAAGTAATTACGTAAAAATAAATCTAAGACCGGTATAATTATTAAATTATCATGTGTGTTTTGACAGGTATCTTATAGTTGTGTAACAAAATAAAGTAAAATTTTATTGTTATTATAGAATGCCTAATCAGAGTACTTAAAAAAAACAGAAAATTTTGCAAAACACTAATTTTTTCATTGGGCTCAACAATCTGAAATTTTAACATACTTACTATCTCGTCAGTACACTTCATTCTCTATTTATAAAATTCCTGTGTGCTATAAACGTTATATTTGTTTTTTCTAGGAGTTGATTTGAAAGTTTCCTTGTGTTTATTTGTTTTATATTCCATATAAATTAAAATGAGGTAAACTAAACTATTACTATGTGAATGCGTGTATAAAGTAGTGCATTTTTTAGTTTATTTTAATAAATTCTCTAAATATGAAATAAATATGGCACTAACTACTAAAGAGGCTTTGTTAGAAGACTCAGATTGTGAAAATGCTGACTCACTTGATGTGGTTTATGTGCCGCCGGAATCAGATGAAGTTTCCGATGTAGAAGACGTTGATGATAATATTATTTAGAAGGAATAAAATCGGATATTGCAGGTACATATGAAATACAGTGAATGGAAATTCTGACGATTCTGATTATGATATTCGGATATTCCTCTGAACCACAGATCAATGCGTCCAAAGAAAAAACCAGGCAAAAATAGTAAATCCAAATTTGTCCCAAGTTGGGTAAAAACAGATACTCCTTCATACTCAGTAGTAATTCAACATCAGTCTGATTGATATTTAGACAATATAAAAGCCAACCATCCGTGTAAAAGCCAAAATATCCGGATACAAAACGAATTAACGGAAATAATAGATGTGAAGAAGGGACTACGCCAGGGAGACGCTCTATCATGCATAATATTCAACATCATACTTAAAAAAATAATAAGAGACACAACAGTTAATACCCGAGGAACAATAATTAATAAAAGCGTGCAAGTACTAGCATTTGCAGATGATGTTGACATAATCGCAAGATCAAGAAGAGAAATGATAGAGGCATTCACTCAAATAGAACGAGCTGCAAAAAATAGTGGTCTTAAAATCAATCAGACAAAAACAAAATATATGCCTGCAAATAAAAACGCACAAATAAGGCAGCTGCCAAATTTAACAATAGGAGAATACAACATTGAAGCGGTAAAAAACTTTACATACTTAGGATCCCTAGTTACGTCTGATAACAACGTTGCAGAGGAAGTGAAGAGGAGAATATTTATTGCCAATAAATGTTACCATGGCTTAATTAGGCAACTAAGATCAGATAACGTCTCCAGAAAAACAAAATGCCAAATATACAAAACCTTAATAAGACCGGTACTCACATACGGTTCAGAAACCTTGACCCTCTCTAAAAGGGAGGAAACGTTATTAGCCAACTTTGAAAGAAAAATCTTGCGACACATATATAAGGGCACAAAAGAAAACGGGATTTGGCGGAGAAGGTATAACTTTGAACTATACAACATATACCAGGATCCGGATATCATAACATTCATTAAAATAGGAAGGCTACGTTGGATTGGACATGTGGAAAGAATGGAAGAAGGCGAAATACCAAACAAAATATTCAAACAAGTGCCAGTAGGAAAAAGAACAAGAGGAAGACCGAAGCTGAGATACGTAGAACAAATAGAAAATGATATAACAACATTAAAAATTAAAAACGCGAAAAAAAAAGCACGAAACAGGTCAGAATGGAGAATAATCCTTGAACAGGCCAAGACCCAAAAAGGGTTGTCGAGCCAGTGATGATGATGATGAAAAGCCAACCATAGAGGCAAGTAACATATTGAACGTTTTTCACTATTTTTTGATAAACAATTAATTAAGAGCATTCTATATTTTACAAATATTTATGTATCGCAGAATAACCGTCAGGTCACGATTTTGAAATGAATGACGTCGATTAAAAAAATTATTGGCATATGTATATTATCTTGTTATCACATTTTGCTTCAAGTTGATATGTATTGATCGAAGGATGAGGATAAAGAAGAGCACATTATAAGAGAAAGCATGAGCCGACATAGATTTCGGTCAATCAAACATGAAGAGAAGAGAATTCTGAAGAAACTGATAAATGAGTGTCAAACTTAGTATATGGACGTCAATCTAAATTTGCTCTACCAGATTTGACAGTATTGGCTACATTACAAAAAGAGTCGGATGGGCAAAAGTAATACTACATATTTATGTAAAAGGTTTAGAGTGCATCTACACCGAATGTTTCGAAAACTTTCACCTTAAAATTTATTTTACATTTAAGATACAATATGTTCCTTTATTAAAAATTGTAACGTTTTTCATTGAAAAGGAGAAAAAAATCTGTTTGGTTGTAAATTAGTCTTAAATTCTGTGTTTTGCAAATCTAATAAATTTATTGTCAAATTTCTCTTGGTTTATTGTATCTGACTTTACTGGGTTAATACTATAAAAAGAATAAACTTATTTTAAATTCATTTAACTTACCTCAAAACTATTTTAAAGTTAATAATAAAGTCAATTTAATAAATATATTCCCAAGAAATAGAACACAAAAGACTATTAGATTGGGGAACTGTTAGAAGGACGTAATTATATAGATCAGCGAATAAGTTTAGCGATGTTTCAAACTATTCAATGATCCCAGTAAGAATTTACTTCTGACATTTAACATAGTTGCCGTTAGCTCTTAGTTCAATTTGTAGATAAGTCACCTTTAATTGACAATTGTCAAGCTCGTCATGAAACACCATGTATAATCAACAAATTAGTAATGGATTCGACCGTTACTTGATGGAAATTCATTTTATGTAACAATAAAAGACTGAAAACTTTGTTTTCGGTCTTTTATTGTTTACTGCTATTTGCTTAATGATATTTAATTCTGTCTCAAAGTTGTATTTTGACATCGGAATTTCTAGTAATCTATGTATTATGCTATGATAGGGTGCCAGTTTATGTTGTGTAGGATGGGATGATTGAATTGTGTATAGTCGTGTCAGTATGGGTAAGTTTATGAAATACAGAGAACTCATGATTATTTTTAAGTCTAATGATTTTTAAATCTAAAAAATTAATGGATTGATTTGGGTGTGATTCTATTGTAAATTCAATATGACTATGAAGTGAATTAATATGCGATGAGAATAGATCAAGTTGTCTGTTACTTCCTGTAAAACATACCAATACATCGTTTACGTATCTCCACCAATACAAAAACTGTTTGAATACGGGATGTTTTGAAATCTTTGTCTCTAGATGATCCATAAAAATATCTGATAGCAATGGGCTTAGACGATTTCCCATTATAAGTTCCGCACTGTTATTTGTATATATTTGATTATTAAATTCAAAGTAGTCCTGCTTTATACAAATTTCGAGATGTAAAATTTCAGATGTAATGATTGGATTGGTATTATTATGGTCTAAAAGGTTTTTTACTAGAACAAAGAGAAATACTAAGAAAAAGATTTTTTACGTCAAATAAAATTAATCTGGAGTTGTTAAGTAATTGAAAATGTTGTATTTTATTAACTAGTTCTATTTTATTTTTTTACTGTAAATTTAGGAGAAAATTTAGTGTCTTCTAAATAATCTCTAACAGTTTTTTTTTAAGTTTTACTAATAGTTGTTACTTTAAAACAAAATTAAATAGTACCCATACGGCGTAAAAACTTTTACCAAGACTATTTATTAAAAGTTACTGTTAAATATTTCAAAAACAATTCAGGAATGCTTATTGTTCTAAAAAAAATAATATCTAAAACAACTTTTCAACAGAATATATATTATTGCATTTGTAATGAGCTGCCAAATACAGTATAGAGTATATGCTTTTTCAGGATAGACTGTAGGTGACAGGGATTTTAAGCATACACACTATTCAGTCAATAAATTTAAACAAACGTTAATGTGCAATAATACTTGGTGATAACTTTTATTTGGCTTAAAATGAAATGTGTTTTTATAAAATATACTATTCTAGTACGGCTTCAATTTTTTTTGTCGATAGGTGACACCAAATCAAAGGGAAGACCCAGGTCCGCAAGAGCTGCAGCTGCTGTATTAACTGGTGAAAAATCCGACATTGAACCGCAACAGCTTCAATTACGCAAGGCTTTAGCTGAACGCTTGAGGGCAGAGGTGGTTGCTACAAATAAATAGACACAAACATTTTTACTTATATTTATTACCTAAATATATAACGAGTACATTTTTGTATTTTACAATTCTTTAAAATATTAATTTGTTACATAAAAATGAATATTAGAAAAAATGGCCTTTTGTCTGTTGTTTTAAAAACTTATTTATGGCTTGTATAAAAAATATGCTGATGCTGCCATCTTTGTAACAAATAAGAATGGGTCGTTCAAAAGTTACACGAATGAGAATGCACAAGTACCTGTTATATTATAAAAGGTAACTAAAAAGGATATTTGTGTAACTTTTAAATAGTACTAAGTAAGTAATGTCGTACTGCATTCGCTCAGTTTACATACAAAAAGTTTTTGGTTGAGTAAAAAGACGAAAGGTTATTTATCATTTTTGTGGAATTGTTTTCTTTTCCAATACCATCTAATTATTTATTAATTATGATCCGATTCCTCACAACTGTATGTTATAAGGATGTAAGAATACTGTTTTGTAAATATATTCATTCTCCGAAACGTGACAGATGAATACTCCATAATATGCCTAATAAAATCCTATATTGGCAAAAATTTCAATGTCAAGGAAAAATGGAGCCGATCATTGGGACTCCTGCGAGCACACTTCGACCTAATCCGGTTTTACTGATCGGAACGTTTTTACATTTTTTTTATTTTTGATGAGTAACAAATGTCCTTTGTGTTGTTCCCGGCTATAAAAATGTTTTAATGAATTGAACGAATAAAGTAGAAACCAGTAGCAACGTAAGCGAGGAAACCTGATGATGAAGAAATATACATTGAAAATGTATCATGAAATTCTGATAATGAGTTAGCGACGAGGATACAAATGAGCCGAGCAGCAAAAATTACTAAGGTCGTAATCGCCATAAGTGATATTCGCAAAGATTTTTCTCTCGTATTAAAACATTTGCTATTTCCGGGTGATATACCACAAATTGTTTTGGAATGGGCATATGTGAACTTATGCAGTATAATATTAGTTTTGTATTAGTATTCAACTTTAGAATATTGCTTCAAAACTGATTTGCTACTCCATTGCGGTTTTATAACCTAGCTGCTAGACCAGTTCGCCGACAATAGGTTTTATTGACTTCAATATCCCAAATTTGTAACCAGTTTGTTGCCAATTACCAGAACGTATATTGTGCTTAATGTGCTAAATAAAATAATCCTTTCCGTGCTCTTACATTACCCATAGGCTTATAAAACTTTATTTTAGATGAGGAAGACAAAAAAATCTTTTATACAAGTATGAATATTGTTTTTAACATTTACATCATCTTAACATATAGTTGTTAGGATTCGTACATATTTTGGCAATCTACCATTAGTAGTTCCCGTATCTATACATTTTATTTTTACAAAAACTAAAAATATAAGAAATATAAGTTTTGTTCCAAAACAGATAAAACAACTTCACCAAAAATGAAAAAAGAAAACTTTCCCCAAAAGTACCACGGCTCTCAATGTAATAATTTTTCAAAGTTCTTTTAACGCATGTGCACAATTATTTGAAAAATGTTAATTTTGTTGATAGGTAAATATTGCTGTAGTTCTTTGAGCGAATATACAATAATAAATAATATATATTTACATCCTTCCTGATTTCCATCACTTCAGAAGCTGCATTAACACAAATATTTGTAGGAAACTAAACAAATTTTCATGATATTCGAAATTCACGAGTGGTGAATGTAAAGTTATTTTTATACTCTATAACAATGCGTTCGATGGTTCTACTTTGTAAGTTTGGTTAAAAAGTAGGTTTATTGTACATTTTGTGGGTAAAAATATTTGGTAACTCTTAGACTTTTAATGTGACAAAAACAATCAAGCCAAAAAACGACAAATCCAATATTCAGAATTGCTAAAGCAGTACTTGGTTTATCACGAAGAATTTACAAAGCTGGTTCATCACAATTCGGTAAATACTAGTGTGTTCAAAAGTACTAATGTTAACCACAATCATTTCGTAGCAAAATCCCGAAGATTAAATTCTAAATTCACCATATTCAGAACACGAAACTAGAAATATACGATGTTACAATGTATTCCAAAAACTGTATGTATCTCTAGATGCAAATACTCATTCACTAGTCATTCAATTAGGTTTTCCAAACACATTGGTATGCCAATCTTAATGCCTTCTATAGTGTGAAAAAACTAAGTTATCACAAAAATGGGAGTTTTTAATCAAATAATAATGTGCAACATAATTTACAAACAGCTCTTTAGAGCTCTCAATTGAGAAATATTTTTAACGGTACTACCCAAATTCAAGATTTAAATGTGCCGTTTGTTTGTACATCTATGTCTAGAAATAGATTTCTAGATATAAAGCGTTACAATCACCTTGCCGACGATACAGCATTACCAACACATGATAAAATGGCAAAAGTTTGACCTCTGCTAGCACGACTGAATCAGAATTACAGACAGTGGAGTATTTTTCATGAACATTTATGTGTTGATGAATCTATGGTTAAATTTTTTGGGAGACATACCAGTAAGCAAGTTATAAAAAGTAAACCTATTAGATTCGGCTACAAAAATTGGTTGTTATGTAGTGCCAATGATTATTGTTATGCCGTAGATACTTATGGTGGAGCCAAAAATATTGATAAGAAAAGAAACCTACCATTAGCATCATAAGTAGTTCTGGATATGGTAGACCGCATCGCTTGTCCATCAAACCACACATTATTTTTTGATAACTTTTTTAGAAGTTACGATCTGTTGGATAAATTAAAAAGAGTAGGAATTAGAGCTACTGGAACTGTAAGAGGCAATAGAACAAAAAATGTCCACTATCAAATGCTAAACAATTGAAAAAACACTACAGAGGTTATTTTGAACATCAATATGACAAGGCTCGAGGTATATTATTTGTAAAATGGAAAGATAATAGCATAGTAACTATGGCTACAAATTACGACTCTATGGAACCTGTAGCACAAGTAAAACAGTGGTCAACTGCTTGATATAAAAATTATAATAAGTCCTTGGGTGATGTAGACTTATATGATTAGCAACATAAACAGTTAACGGGTCGAAATATGAGGAAAAAAATGGTGGTGGGTGCTTTTTACTAATCTTAGAAACATGACTGTTGTAAATAGTTGTAGAATATATTAATTCTTAAAACCAAATATCGTGGGCGCTAATGGGTTAACCCACTTTCAAAACTCAGCGAAACAATACGACCAAGAACATGATCCAGTTAGTAGATATAACTTGGAGGATGATTATATTTAGATTTGTCAATGTTAGTCAGGTGTCGGACCTGGAACTCACAATATGTATACACTAGAATGTAGGTGAAACAAACATAAAATGTATTCTTTTACATATGTTAAGTTTTTCTTCAGATAAAACGTTAAAAAGGTCAACATCACGGCGGTACCAAGTTCATAACAAGCTAGTTTCCATCGTCACAAACATGTTATGACCATCGAACAATTAAAACACTGTATTCAAACGTAATATATATATATATATATATATATATATATATATATATATATATATATATATATATATATATACTGGCCGAACTGTGATAAATCTGTGAGCAAAATAAATACACTTGATTTTGTAAATTCAGTTTTGAAAAATAGAAAATAAATAATACGCCCAAATTCCACAAATTAAAAAAATACCATATATGTTTAAGCATCTAAAATAAATAACACGAGACCTCAATAACATCTTTTATATTGTTCAATTACACTATACATTTTAATTTAGACTTATACAACCATGAAAATATTGTTTAAGTTCAATTTAAAAATTGTGCTAAATATCCAGTACACAAATAAATAGAGGACAAAATCGAAATAAAAGGTATATTAATCACAATAATTACAAAATGAAAGGTGGAAATTAAATATTTTAGTCTAAATTTTATACTTCATACTGCTTGATATACGTCAATTGAATTTAACAGTAAAAATAAGATATTAGCATAGTGAAATACAAAAAGAATGACAAGATAACATTATATTTATAAAGTATGCCCCCAGAAGATATGTACAAAATAAAAACCTTTGGAATAATATAAAATAATAACAATACGAATATAGTAAGATTAAAAGTAAAGAAAGTTGATAAAAAGGAATTAATTTTAAATAGAAGTTGTCATAAATGGATGTAGGATCCGTACTCCCTACTACCTATTAAAATTTAATGCTATGTACATACTACAACAGTATATTAATCCCGGTCCTCACATAAAGATGGCGCCACTAATAACACAATGACGTTTGAAGGTACGTACCAACCTTCAAATGGCATCAGTCAACATGTGTTTACACACTTAGTGCACTATTTTACACACTACACAAGTAATTTTTAAAGCAAAGAAATGGAAAAGTTACTTGATGAAAAAAAAACTATAAAACCAAAGCAATGGTGTGATAACTGTCATTCAGACTCCTTTTGATCCGTAGGAAACAACAATTAAATAGTGGTACCATGACTTTAAACTCGATCGTAGACAGAAACAATAGTTTACAAAGTCGTTTTGGATGATCATAAATTGAAGTTGTATTCACTGTATTCATTATTTTGCGTGTACAATGGTCAGTGGAAAAACTGAGTCCATAGTTCTTCATACAAATTGAGATTCCCCATTAATATGCATTTCTAATTGTAAATGTTTTAACTCTGCTGTACATACTTTTTGAGTAACTGATATTAAGAAATGAATTTTCAAATGTGGAGCGAATAGGTGATTGAACATATGAAGTTTAAGGATTTTAAAGATTCCACAGACGTTATGCTGCAAAAAAGGATTTCAAACTCTCACTAAATGTTCATGAACGAGTGTGAATTGACCCAAAATGAAATTGCTCAAAGCACAATGCTCAGATACCCTGACCTATTATACTAATGGATCAAAAACGTATGAAAGAATCGGTTGAAATGGCCTTAACACTAGACTAGCAATATACTCCTACATCACACTCTTATACCATAAAAAAATTGCACGTG